CCCTTCTGCTTTTCTGCAAGGAGTTCACTAGGAGCCCAGTAGTCTGTGATTGGCTGCTGAGTCAGAAGCAGCCTGTTCCTTCCCAGGGGCCCTTGGTGTGAGGTAGCTTATGCCACCATAGGTATCCAAGGGCACCAACGTCCACTGACACAGCTCCTCATACATGACTGTCTCAGGGGAGTTAAAAGTTTAGGAACTGATTGTGGTGTGTCTGTCAGTGATGCCAGCTCGTGGGAAACTGGAGCAGCATGATTACTAGGAATTTGAGACCAGCCTGAGTGAATTGGCATGTCCCTGAACAGTCAGGACTCTTACAGATCAAACATGAGAATCAGAGTTCAGATCCCCAGTGCTCACAAAAATGCAGGCAGGTGTGGCGGCCCTCCAAGCATCCCAACATCTGGGGGGCTTCCATAGAGGGAAGCTGGCTAGCTAGATACAGCAAAATTGGTGAATCCCAGAGACCCCAAGTTGAGTACAGTTAAGAAAAAAATTAATTAAAAAAGTATTAATTTTAGATCATCACATATATGTACACACATGTGATCATGCAGCTTCTCCGTATTTGCCCACACATATAAACATATATACACACATACATATGCACCACATATGCTTGCATTTTTATTTCATACAAATGGCATTCTAAGTAGGCATTGCCTATCTCCTCTCAGTACACCGAGAAGCCATACTGCCACCCTGCCCACCTGCCATCAATCACTGCGGGAAGCCATGCTGCCATTAAGATGCGGGGTATCTGGTAACACGCCTCGACCATGGACCTTGGTGGGCCCTTGGGTATTACTGATGGCTGTGGAGGCTCAGGTGGCTTGTCCTGTTGCAAGATGCTGCCGCCCAGTGGGTGGTACGCTTCCTGCCAGGCAGAGCAGCTGCACATCTTTGGTTTCTGTCAGATTCTTACTCCCCATCAGTTATAAAAGCCAAGTGTCTGGAGGACTGGGTGTGCCTTCTGCCATTAGGGTGTGTGCCGGTGGTGGTCCTATTTTCATTTCCCTCGTGATCAGAGGATCAGCAGATTCTCGGGCAGATTCTCTGTTCTGTGGCCGCAGAACAGCATCTCTGCATGAGCTTGTGGTTTTAGCTTTCTTGCATTGGGCTGTTTATTAAGACATAGATGGGCTTGTTAACATCTGCCATCAGAGATGCTTCTGATGGAAGAAGTCACATAGAGATCTACAAGATTTTTTTTTCTTTTCTTTTTAGCAAGATAGGAGCTCCTGGAGCTCAGATCAGCCTCAAGTTCACAGTGTAGCTGAGGATGACCCAAACTTCTGATGTCCCTGCCTCTATCTCCCAGGTACCAGGATCACAGGCTTGTACCACCACACTCAGTTTGTGTGGCTAGGAACCAAACCAGGGCTTCATAGTGTGCTAAGCAAACACGCCACCTGTGTAGCCACGTACCCAGCACCTAGATCCCGGGGACTCATTACTAAAGACGGCAACCCCGTCCAGCCTCTGATTTCAACAGGAGTTCTTGTATTTATATCACTGTATGACCTGTCAGTCAAGGTTCTGCACATCCATCTCCACGTGGACTGTGAGGATGCTCTGTGCCTCCTGCTTGAACCTATCCTGCGCTTGCTGCAGAGGGCTCTGGTTGGGCCTGCACTTCTGCTTCCTCAGGGTTGACTGAGAACTTCAGGGCAGCAACGCCCCGCGTCACTCCTCTTCCCTTCTAGCCACCCTTGAGCTCTCCTGGGAATGCAGTTCCCTGTGGCTCGCCATTCACACATGGTCAACACTCCTCTAGTTGTGTAATCTCACCTCAGAATGTCCCAACACTGGCTGCAACCCGTCTTGATGCTGTTGACTCTCTTCTCAGTTTCTGAACCAGTCCAGTCAAGGGCTTACAAGTCTTTGGACTTCAGGCGCCTCTCCTGGGTTGGGTCCCACACTTCCTTGACTTAACCCTTCATCTTCAGGAGCCTCAGCAACTGAAGAAACGGTGTGTAACTGATGCCGTCTCTACAGATTCAGCTGTATTAGCTCAACACAGTGCTGAGGTTCACACCTGCCGTGTTGGCAAGTCACTCATTCAAATACCGCCCCAGCACACAAAAGACACCATAAGTTACATTGCTAACATTCCTGCTCAGTCAGGTTGCTTACAGCTATGAGTAAACTTGCTGTGACATTTTTGCCTTAGGACATGCGTACATGCAGGTTGTATGGTGGAGTGATATACACATTTAAGGAGGATTCACCACTGCACACACACACACACGTCTTCAGACTCTGAGCTCAGCCGTCTCAGTGGGGGGCTATATAGTAGCATCTCACTGGAAGACTATGCATTTCCCCACCATCTGCACATTAGCCACGTGGGCATCTTCACCAACGAAGAGCCCATGTGATCCTTTGGCTCATTAAAAGAACTGACTGGACAATTAATTCTCCATGCAGTTTAGGCTAACCCTTTCTGATGTACTACCAACGGTTCATTTTCAGACATAAGGTCTCATGTGCCCAGGATAACCTTGAACTTCTGATTCTCCTGCCTCCACTTCCTCGGTGCTGGGATTACAGGCATGTGCCACCACACCTAGCCCATGAGGTGCTGGGGACTCACTGCAAGGCTCTGTGCATGCTAAGCGGGTACTCTGCCAACTAAGCCCCAGCCTTTCATTTTTCTGCTGACTTTCTTAGTGGCATCTTTGCTGAGCAGATCTCCAATTCTGATGAAGCCCAAAAAACTTTTGAGTAAACCATTCACCTCATTTAAGAGCTTGGTCTAACTTCAGGAAAACATTTTCCTGGGCTGTCTTCTAGGGATTTTTTTGTTTGTTTGCTTGTTTTATTTTTTGAGACAGGTTTTCTTTGTAGCTCTGGATGTCCTGGAACTCACTGGCCTCGAACTCAGAGATCTACCTGCTTTTGCCTCCTGAGTGCTGAGATGAAGGCATGCACCACCATCACCCAGCAGTCTTCTAGTTCTTACCAGCATAGTTTACACACAGCCTATGACCCATTTTGTATTGTGCATGATGCAAGGTGACTTTAATCTCCACCCGGTGAGCCAAGTGGCTCTAGCTTCTTTTACTATGAACTCACTCTTTTCTCAACCCGGATGTCTCTCTTTAATCCAGAGGTGCCGCTCAGATCCCACGATCCCTGTCCGTCTCCTAACAGGTCACCCAGCATCCATGCTGACTCCTCAACTACCTGCTGGCTCCTTTCTACTCACTTCTACAAGCTCTCACTCTTAGGACTGGCTGTCTTTTTTCTCCAGACAGGGTTTCTCTGTGTAGCTCTGGCTGTTCTGGGATCACTCTGTAGAGCAGGCTGGCCTTGACCTCACAGAGATCCACCTACCTCTGCCTCCCTGAGTACTGGGGCCTGGCTGTCTTATGTTTTCAACTGTGAGCTACCCTGGGCTCATGGGGTTTTACCTTTGGGTTGAAAAAAAACATGACACGGGTCATTTTCCCATAAAGAATGCTTTAAAAGATATTTTATTGTGTGAACACATATGCCTCAGCACACATGTGTCAGAGGACAACTTGCATGAACTGTTCTCTCCTTCACCATATGGTCCCTGGGGACTGAACTTAGGTCATCAGGCTTAAACAAATGCCTTACTTAACCTGCCCGCTTGAGGGCTTTCAGTAATTTTGCTAGGTGGCAGGCAGTGCTAGCCAGAACCTCATCTAGGTTTGTAGCTTGAGGTTCTCTTGCCATGTGACGTTAACACTCACCCAGGCAGCAGTTTGAGGCCTGAGGGCTGGTCAGGAGTGGCCTCCTGATTCCATACCTAGAGGCCAGCTCTGAGGAGCAGGCAGCTCCCGCACTGGTCACAGCTGATTCCAGACTCAGCCGTGAGCTCTACATCACTCACACTGAGATGGTTCACCAGGCTGGGCGCTGCTATAAACACATTTTACTTCAACATGCCCATTTCTAAGCAGGAGAATGCAGCCATAGCCTCTGGCTCTAGGGACAGAGCCAAACCTCGGTAAAGGCTTCTCTTGCATCTACTAGCCAGGCATTCCCCCTGCAGTTGACTCTGAACCTGGTATCCGGGGTCTGTCATCCCAGTTCCCTGGGCTGTATGTGGCACAGGACCCTTGGTGGGTACCTAATATAAATGTGCTGGGTTGAAGCAGAAAGGCAGAGCTGAGATCAAGCATTTCTCTGGGTCTCAGACATTGCTGAGGGCTCGGGGCAAATATTTACACCCCAGCTGGCCTTGGATGGTGGCAGACATTGCACGGGTGAGGAAAACACACAGGAATGCCTGCTGTTCCTTGCTGCTGGTGTCCTTAACCCACAGGCCTCTTGCATGCTGTCCTGGAGTGTCTATGTGCTCACCTGTGAATACAAGTAAGTGTGTGCTCACAAGTGCCTCCCCATCACAATCTGCTTTTGCTTATGTAGCTGGGATAGCTAGGCAGCTCGCCCCGGCTGTCCTTTCTCCGCCTCTCAAGTGCTGGGACTACAGGCAGATGAACACACCCACAGGCATTCCCATGGCTCTGTGGATCCGGACTCTAGACCTCAAGCTTTCAGGGCAAGCATTTTATTCCTCTTTCCAGCTTTGATACTCTTATAAACATGGTTAACTAACTGTGTACTCCTGCTAGGGAGATTTCAACTTCTGAGCTGAGGTCCAGCGGCTAACAAATCCAATGGCCTGATCTTCCAGAAGTCAGAGATCCTTTTGGTGACTCTGTGTGAGGGAAACTGACTCTATACATGGGAGCCAATCAGGGTCTTTTGCACCCCCTATAAGATCTGCAGGCCTTCACCTCCGCCATCTTTTTCCTGAAATCTCACCTCCTAAGGGCTCTTGATTTAAAACGATCTGGGGTCAGATCCCCCGGGAGGGAGAGCGTGAGTGAAGTGGGGAGAGGGAAATGCCTCAAATGGGTAGGCTTGGCTAGCCCCCCTCTTCTCCCTTTTATCTGTAACTTACTTTGCCACGGTGCCACCTCTGGCTGAAGTGGACCCATCCCTTGAAATACCAGGCAAGGACTGGATGGCTTGAAATCCTGCCATGTATTTAAGACCTCCGTACATTACATTTCCAGTGACAGATATATGTAATTTCAATGTAAACTGTTTGCCGCAGGGTGGAGGACAGTCATATCTCAATGGTAGCTCTACCCAAGGCCTTCAACCAGGGTGGTGACAGCCACACTTGCTTGAAAGAAAAGAAGTCCTTGCCAGCTGCAGCGGGATCAGGTCGGTGTGTTGAAGGATCCTCTGGGCCACCGTGGTCAGCCACACCAGTCATCACAGGTCTAGGCATGCAGATGACGCGTTGAGAGCTCCCAGTGTCTTCAAAATGCCTCTCTGGGCTACTGCTGGTGGCTTCTGGTCCTCAGAGCTCATTGTGCCGAGCTCTTGAGACCCTACTGGACAGGTCCTGCAGGTGCTTCTTCACCTATACAAGGGGACACCTGTCAGTGGGGACAACATGGCAAGCCCGGCGTCGAGACATCCCAGGAGATAGCTGAAAACCGGGACTAAACACTCTGGCTCATCTTCCACCACAGCCACCCAAAATGTGCCATGAGTAACGACAGAGCTCAGTGGAGACTCAAAAAACAAACAGCCGGAAGCCGATCACCCCAAAAGACAATGAAATGGTGGCATGTGTATGTCCTATTATCTTTAGGAGACCCGGTGATGGGCCATGAAGGCGGGATGGATGCCTGCAGGGAGGGTCACAGAGAACTCTGCCTTCCGACCCCTTAACATCACAAGGGCACAAAGAACCACAGGCCTGCAGACCTGGGCCAGGCTTAATCTGTGGTTTTTGAATTCTCTCAAAGCGGCACCTGCTAGCGCTACCCTTCCATAAGAGACCCGTGGTTTGGAGTCAGTAGCTGGCAGGTCTCCAAGCATACCCAGGGGCTCCAGAACCCCCAGTTGACTCCCCAGTTTCACAGGGCCCCTTACACATTGCAACAAATCTCTTGGTGGCCAGGGGTAGTCGAGAATGTGCTTGGATTTTAGCCCTGTGAACCCCCCCAAACCCTTATAGTAGTCACATGGATGGCCTCTGAGCCCCCAGGCTTTGGGCTCCACTGCTCTGCTGTACTGGCACCTGAAACACTGAGCACTGGCCACACAGGGTTCCCATGGACTGCGTATGTGTTTCCCTGAGCCAGGGGGTCAAGTGTGTGAGACCCAAGTGTAAGCTGAACAGGACTGTGTGTGAGGATGGAGGGAGCGAAGGACGGTGTGTCCCACCTTGTAGCCCAGCTCCTTGGTCTTCTCCTCCAGCAGCACGTACTTCTCCTTGTTGCGGCTGATGTGCTCGGGGTCACCAATGCTCTCCACGTGTTTCAGCTTCTGGTGGGAGATCTCCAGCTGCTTCTGGTAGTGGTTATGCTTTTCAATTTTGGCCTCGAAGTGCTTGAGCTCCTCCTAGAAGGGGCCAACACCTTAGTTTCCTCCAACATGGAGCCCTGTGGGTGCCTGTCTCTTGTCCAGCAGTGGTCCCGACCACCACTAGCGCATCTGAGAACAGTACGTGCTTACTGCCAGAAGCCTCTAAACTGGGATTGTGCATCAGAACCTGGTGGCAGCAGGGACCTTTGCACTCCCATCCCTGAATACCTCCTTTCCCATGCTGGTTCTGCTCCCACGCACAACTGGACATAATACATTTGGGAACAGCAGCCCTGCCTACTGGGCATCCAGCTCCCTCCTGACCCTGTGCCCAGGCTGATGGCCCAGGGCTTGGTTTTACCAGAGGTGCTCTATACCCTCTTTGCTCCCTTCTTCCCCCACACGGACATCACCCCCACTCCTGGTGGTTACCCCACCTTCCGCCTTCAGGAGATCATGACCGAGGCAGCCTGCATCTTGGGAATCTAAGGTTTCTTCTCAAGCTCCATGAGGACGGGCTCATGTCCATCTCACAGCCCCTGCTCCCTAGAGCTCCTCTGCTTATTTCTCACCGGCTGCCTGCTCCCTTTTACCCCATGGGTCCAGTGCTACTGGCAGCCACTAGAAGCCCCACCCCTGTGGCTCATCAGCCTCCTGCAGCTCTGCCCCCACCACACACCCTGGCAGCACAGTGCTGGGCAGACCTCCTGACGGCCAGATGCTCACACAGGAGGCACTGAGACTGATGGCATGGGAGGTGTGTGCCCACTTGCTACCACTTGGCTGCCAGCCAGGATGACAAGGGCTGCAGAGGCCAGGAGCAGGAAGGAAAAGGGTCAGGACAAAAACACAAATGCACTGCGCTATGAGAAAAAAGAAAAGAAAAAAAAAAAAAAAAGAAAGAAAAGAACAGAGACCCTGATCCCACTGGAGACCACACTGGAAGATGACACAGCTTTGCCTACCAGTTTCCTTACCCGGAATGACTCCAGTTCCTTTTCTGTGAAGTTGGCAGACTGGGCCAGGTCCCACAGATCTATCACTCGGGGTTCTTCAAATTCTGCAGGAAAGCAAGGACTGACTGTATGGGTAGGTAGTGTGGCTGGACACACCCTGGCACTGGGGGTCCACGTGGCCTGTCAGCCCAAGGGAATAGTGTGTGCTGCATCTCGGGAGCACTAAGTTCCTGGTCTGTGCTGACGGCACCAGCTTAGATGTAGCCTGATGGTAACCTCCCTGCCACGGTGAAGGGAGTCACATCCCCGGAATCAGAACTGTCTGCTGCTACCCCTGGGTAGGACCATTAGCACGCTCCTGGCTGTCTCTGAGGTGGGAGTGAGTAAGATCGGGGGGTGACAGGGTCATGAATACCCAGATGGGCATCGGGGAGGGCTGACTATCACTGAGTCAGGGCTAGGGTTCGGCCATTCACCCTCTAGCTCCCACTATCCCTGATGTCACCCCACCTTTGGGGTAAACAGAGAGCCATCCAGCAAGGCTCCCTGGCTTCTGGTCACCCCTGGGCCACAGCAGAAGATCCTGCTCTCCACAGGGACCTTCCTGTCCAGGACCCAAGGGAACCCTGGTTTTCCAGGAAGTATAGGGGTTAGGAACAGGCAGGCCAGAGGGAGAAGCCAAACTATCTGGATGTAGCTCCTTAGGAGGTAGTCCAAATGGTGGTCAAAGAAAGAGGTGACACCCAGCACGCTGACCGTGGCCACATTATCCCAACAATATTAAGTCCTCACAGTGGGTCTGTAAGAGAGATTGGTCACCTCCACAGCTAGTGGTCTCGGGAGATGGCGCAATGGTTTCACAGCCCAACCCCACAAGAGCATGGCAAGCCTGCAAGGCTTTGCAGGTGCTGCCCCAGAAGGAGGCTCTGCCCGGGCCTGTGCATTTAGGACTTTGTCCAATGCAGGCTACCGCCTCCGTGTTTAGACACAAAACTAGGCACCCCCGCCCGGAGCCCCGAGAGGGTGGGGCTGTCACCGCAGCAGAAGTGCCATCCCAAGGGCCATGGGTGAGCATGAGATGCAAGGCTGGCCTCCACTGGCAAGGGGATGGGGAGACAGTCCTGTGTAAGATTTCCAAGACTGAAAAGACAGCCTGGATAGGGCCACCAACCAGAGGGTCACTCTGCTACCACTTCAAACAAATTCTGGTGACAGGGATGAAGGCCAGCCCAGAACATTTTTTTAAAAAATTGACCTTTATTTTTATTTTACGTGTATGAGTGTTTTGCCTGCACGTACGTCTGTGTATCACAGGTATATGGTGCCCATGGAAGCCATTAGAGGACATTGGATCATTGGGGCTGGAGTTACAGGTGGTTGTGAGCTGCCATGTGGGTGCTGGGGATAGAGCCTTGGTCCTCTGGAAGAGGCCAGTGCTCCTAATCACTGAGCCATCTCTCTAGTTTCTGGCCCAGATGTTCGTATTACAGTGGGGCCCAGGGCAGGCCACTATTTAACACAGCCAAGGCCTGAGTGTGACAGGTCTCCTAGGCACTCCTGAGTCCATGTACCTGTCCCTAAGCATGTGTCTGTCTGTCAGTCTGCCTACCTCAAACAGAAGCAGACAATCCCAATCAGTTGACATAAGCAGCACACGGGGAGCAGGGCTTACCAGTGGTGGGGCTGTAGCCCTGGTGGCTGACTTTCCTCAGGCGGTCCAGGCCCTGGTTGATACTACGCAGCCTGTCCTTCAGCTCACTGTGCTTGCTGGCCAGGGCGTCGCTCTTGATGTGGTTCATGTCAGAGGGACTGAGCAGGTTCTCATAACCTTCTGTGGAACAAGACGCAGAATGTCTGATAAGGACTGGGGCCCTAGTGGCCAAGATGGCCCTAAGTCCATCTACTGATCATGCCTCTGCAGCCCTCAGTGCTGGCTGGTGGATGTGGTTTCTCAAACAAACATCTAAGCATGGATGTCTCAGCATTTGTACCCAGAGGCCTGCTCCAGGAGGGGCCTCCGTGGGCCCTAATGGCTCGATCTCTCAGGACCCATACTTGGCAAGATCACACCAGTCAGAAGTCATGGTGGTTAGGTTAGGTTAGAGAGTAGTGGCCTGCTACATCAGGGTACCTCAGTCACCCCAGAGGCAACCTTCCATCTGTGCAGCCATACTGATATAACACAACTGGCATAAAACCTGAGCAGTCAGAAAATGAACAGGGTAGAAACATGAGAAAACATGAGAAAAGTTTCTCCACTCCCTCCTTGCCACCCTAGGCAACAATGGAACACCGTGCCCAGCATAGGCGGGCATGGGCATACCTTCAGCTCTGCTCAGTGTGTCTAGCAGCACATTGTACTCGTGGACCTTCTCTTTGTGGTGCAGGAACTCCCGCCACAGCTTGTCCAGTTCTTCACTGGAGAACTTCCCTGATGTTTTTGCCTAAGAGGAAACAGCCTGGAGTGAGCTCGTCTGTCCTGTCATCAGCACTACCCAAGGAGTTCAGGCGCATGTCAGCTGTATCCTTGCTCCAGGGCAAAGAGCTTGGGGCTGTTCTCATCCTCTGCACTCACTGTGACCCTCTACTAGGTAGATACACCAGGCAAGAAAAATCAAATTGGAAGTGCCTGACAGGCAATGCCCCTTTTCCTTGATGTCCCCAGATTTACAGAGAAGGGGGAGGGAGGGCCCTGAGGAAGGTGCCTGCATCTGCTTAACTCTTCGGAACAGCAGGCCCATCTCCACGGTCCAGCAGAGACCAGAACAGCGGAACCCGGACAGGCTACCCACGTAGCTGGACCAAGGGAGCCCGTGGCACTGAATCCCTGCCATATCCCAAAGCAAAGATGGGCCAGACCTAGCACTGCCCACTTTTGCAATCACAGTACCAAGAGCTCGCGCCAACATCTGCACGCAGCTGAAGGCCCCTTTCCTAAGCACAGAAGCAGGACCACAGGCCAGAACCAGAGGTAAAGTAGAGGAAACACAGCCGCCTGACCTGACACCTGTGTGATGTAGCCACACACTATGAAGAGTATGTCTGATGCTACAGTCCTGACAGTATGAGTGCCAGATGAGCTACCAGGACAGCACGGACTGCACAGGAAAGAGAATATGAGCATGTCTCATGGGGAACCTGCGGCATGACTTGGTTCCCACGCACCAGGCTTCACAGCAGAAGAGGCAGCAGTATGATAGCAGAAATAGCCCCAGTAGGCCCGCGTCCCAACTCTCCACAGGCCGCACAAGTTACAGAAGGTAAGGGAAAAAAAGGCAAGTGGTACCTTGTGCCACAGCTTTTCCAGCCTGGGGTCCCCCAGCTCATCCTGGGTGTCTTCATTGAGTGCATTGCTGTGCACCATCTGGGTGTCCTTCCTTCCATCCAGTCCATACCTGGCCAAGATGACTAGAGAGGGAGGGGACATTTGATTTTTATTGACAGGCAGGAGCTGCCACAGGAGCCCATACAATAAGCCTGCTTCTCATTTTCTAGAAGATTCCTTTCAGCACTCTCCTAAGTGGCCAAAACAAGATCTGGGGAGAACGTGCAACAGCTTAGGTGCTCGGGTCCTCCAGTGTTTATGAGCAATGGCTAGGGACTCACAGGAGGTCACAGGACCTCCTGGGCTCCACCACAGACAACCCCCGCTTGATCGAGCTTTCCTGAATGAGGAGCTCATGGGCTGGGAGGGTGTGCACTTGATGTCCCAATTTACCCGTCCTTCACCTTAGCCTGGGGGCTGCACCCGCCAGAGGATAGGAAGGTACCATTGAGGTTGTGAACCAGTTTTGCTTCTTTCTCCCCATCCTTGTCTAAGCCTTCCGCCTTCAGTTTCTTCCAGTTGAGTTCGTCCCTTTCTTGTATTTTCAGGTCAGAATGGAGCTCAGCCAACTTCACGGGAGACAGATGAAGCTGCCCAAGAAAGGAGCAACAAGTGATAAGGCACTGTGACAGGCCAAGGGCAACAAGACTGATGTCGGGGGAGGGGTGGCTGGGATCATAGTGGACAGGGATGACAAGGCGCACAAGGACTTCAAAGACTGGCACTCTTTGTCGGGAGCCCAATTAGAGACACAGCTGAGGCAAGGTCTGGAAACCCCAGCTGTCAGCAGGGCACCATACCTTTCCCGTTCTGACATCTGGAGCTATGTACCAGGGAAAGGGATACACCACTGAAGGGCTGGACTTGGAGAAGAAATGAGCATTTTCTACAAAAAGTATGAGAAGAAAAAAGATCTACTCTAGAGTAGAAGACTGATTTACAGAAAACTTCCCAATTGATTTTTTTTTTTTTTTGCCATCCTAAGACCAGATCTAGGGCCTTGTGCATGCTAGGCATACTACCACAGAGGGATCCTGTCTGAAAAGGACTCTGCTCCCAAGGGACCTGAGAAGTCAGCTGCTGTCATCTGAATACATTTCGTCCAAGAGGAAATGGGTCTCTGGGATTGTGGGGTCATCTGCAGAGGTTCCCCTACCCCCGACTCCAAGGACAGTCCTTTGCTCCCCACACTGCCCAGAGTCTTCATCTTGCAGCACACTAGGCATGTCACAGCACTGAGTCAGGACTGATATGACCCAAGTACCCCACTGAATGGCTCACGGCTCGTCCTACGAAACAGGAACAGGGCAATGCCAGAGTCAGGGCATGTGGGTTAGACTGGCATGAAGCAATGACCCCTCCACCCCCACTCCAAGTCTCAAATTGCCCAATCTCACAAGATGGAGGTGGGTTCCATGCTTTTGCAGAGCCCTCCCACACCCAACTCCACTTCCTGGAGTCTCAAGGCGAACCTCAGTTCTTCTGAAGGTGGGTTGGAAATGGGGGGAGCCAAACAGTTCCTACATGATAAACTATATTCCACTCACTACAGTGTAGTTTTGTATTTGGAAAACAAGGAAACACAGACTGTTTAAAGGATAAAATCTCCCCGGATGAGGAAGGAAGGTCATGGAGAAGCCCTAACAGGTTATAAGCCAGGAAGGGCCTAGGTGAGCATCATATCTACCTTAAGCAATGTTGGTGGGAACTGACAGCACTGATAACCATCTCATCCCAGAGAAGCAGAAGGCCCATCCCAAATGTTTACATGAAAGATAAGAACCCGAGAACCACCCAGCAGAGGTGACTTAGCAGGTAGCACACAGCTGCAAGCCTCCATGTCTAGAAGGAACAGCAGCAGAGCTCAATCTGTATCCCCAAGGCCTAGGCTCTTTGGAAGTGGGGAGTAGATGAAAGACATCCTATAAAGGAAGCCACCTGGAAGAATGTCCTCTTCCATTCAGCAGAAAAAGTGAACACATGTCCCCTGCAGAACTTTAGGACTAGAGGGCTGGAAGGGACACGCAGCCCAAGGCTTAGGCAGGATGAGGAGAACAGCCATTCCAGCAAGTGACATGGAAGTGTGGACAACCAGGAGAAATAGAATCAGATGCTGCAACGGATCAGTGCATATGGCAGAGGAGGACCCAGGGACCCCACAGGTACAGAGTAAGGACAGGTGACCTGCCACAGTAGGTCTAGAAGGTCACCTGGACATGCAGGTAGAGAGGACTTGGGGCCAGCTTCTCAGAAAAAGGGATTCCAGGATCTATGGGCACCAGAATGCATTGCACCTATCCTCGGCCTATGTATAAGCCCGGGTGAGCACACGCATCACAGTGGGCACTCGAAGACAGCTGTTTTTCACTCTAGATAGCTCCCACTGCTCTGTCGCTCTTCTCACAGCCACCCTCAGCTCTGCTCCTGGCCCTTTTCTCCAGGGAGCTAAACTGCTTTTCCAGGGCACAGAGTTGCAGGTTTCAGACACTGCACACTGTCCCCCTCTTGGCAGTATCACCGCAAAGACACTGGCTGGACCCCAGAGCAGTCCAGGAAGGGCTTTCGGGGGCTGCCTGTGAGGCAACACTCCTCTTCCCCACAAGCCGGCCTCCCAGCCATCTCTCCATCCGAATCTTCCGGGGCCAAAGTTCCTCCACTGTTTTCTTTTAAAACTCACTATTAGTTTGCAAATTATTTACTCTCTTTCCAAACTCAGGAATTTTCAAGCTGGAGGGCTGAAGGGCCACCTTCTTCAAGCTAGAGAGGAGGATACTGCAGCCCTGAGGGTCTACTTATAAATGCCTCAACAAAAGCCTGGCCTACAGTCACAATTAGGGACAGGTTTCAAGTTCCAGACCAGCCCTTACTGTCTTGTTATCTCCATTCCAAAAGAAAGAGAGATTAAGATACCTGCTAAATCTGACTTTAGCATTCTCCAGGTCTCAGTGTCCACAAGGAGATCCCAACCCCCTTGGGAATCGCTTCACCCAAATTAACCAGCTCCACTAGCAAAGGGGACTTCTGCTGTTTCTGTACTGCCTCATCTCAGGTCACCTGCTTTTCTTCTCTCCATAGGGGTAAATACAGATAAAAGAAAAGGCTTGCAAGCCAGGCCCCATGTAAAGAGCGCCCGACTACCTCCATCTGAATGACTGGCTCTTTGGAAAACTGGCTTTCTGAACAGAGCGAACTGGTGTGCACAGCCAAAAAGGTTATCACTCACTCTGGGGTCCCCAGCTGCAATAAAGGAAACCATAGCCCCATAGGACCAGCACCAAGTTCCTTTCCCTTTTCCATCTCTCCTCATTGGGTCTGGGGGCCCCCACCTGACACTGAAGTGGGGCAGTACTAAGGGTAGGCCGCCTCTCCCCTCGGTCCAGCGGCTACGCCGGCCTCTTCATCAGGGGCCTGCTCTCCTTCGCATACAAGCGGCTCCTCACCCACGACCCCGCGCCTCTCCTCGGCCCCGCTCACCCTCTGGGCCTTCTCCCAGAGCTGGTTCAGCTTCTCCATGCGGAACTCCTCGCCAGGCTCGCGCTTGGAGGCCATCTCGGGCTCGTTCTTCTCCCGCGAGTACTTGCCGCCATGGCCAGCGATGGGCTGGGGCACAAGCAGCAGCGGCAGCAACAACAGCACCAACAGCTGGAACCGCGGCAGCGCAGATTGCCTCTCTCTTCGAGGCGCCATCTTCCTCTGCAGAGCCAGCGGCTCGCAGACTAACAAGCCTGGGTGCTGTAGGACCGCCCACCGTCAGCCCCGCCCATCAGACAGATCCACCTCTAGTCCCCGCCTCCTCCCTTCGTCTGATCCCGCCCGCCTCCAGGCCCCGCCCATATGCCTGCCCACCCCTCGGTCTCTGGCTCCGCCCCGCTCATCCCCTGCAGAGAATTAAGGCACCCGAGCTTTTTCTTGCTGTGGATCTCAGCTGCCGAACAGCCCGGCTCCTGGGTTCCGCTAAGGAGGCGAAGCTGGGAAAGCCGGGCCCTGCGGCCGAACTGGGGCCACTCTGTCTCATCTGCGCACTGACGCACCGTCCCACTCCTTATAATCACGCAAGAAGCGCAGCGGGAGATGCTTTTGACGTTAAACCCGGGAACAGCTATCTCTGCTCCATCTTTGGGATACATCCCAGACACTTCCCCCTTTGCGGTTTCTGTTGAAAGGCTTTGTGCGCCTGTCTAGTCTCTTTCCACATGTAGCCCTGGAGAAAATCCAATGGACAGAATGAGGCGCGGCCTGCCTCTTGGGGCCGTGGCCAGGCTTGGAGAAAGCCTGATGTTCAAAGAACTTAGGGTCTGGTACAGGCACCAGCACAGTTTGGGGCCCAGAGGGACCGGCAGAAAAGTCATCTGCTGAGGATGACCTGAAAGGGTCTCCAGTGAGGAAGGACGTGGAGGACAAAGATAGGGGATCTTTGGGGGAGTCAGTGTTTATTTTAAGCTGTATCTTGTGTTTCTTCAGAAAGGGTTCAGGATGCCTGGAATCATGGTGATTTGCCGACATTGCCACTTGTTTTCCAAGGTCTTTTGGTTTATTTTATTTTTATTTTTTATCTCTCTTTTTTTTTTTTTTTTTTGTCTTTTTCCAAACAGGGTCTTACTGTGTAGCTCTGGTTATCCTGAAACTTACTATGTAGACCAAGCTGGCCTCAAACTCAGAGATATGACTGTCCCCCTGCCTTCCAAGTTTGCACCACTATGCCCAGCCTAAAATGTCTCCCCTTCAGACGAGGGGGGGGTTGTTTTTATTTTGGGGCTTTTTGGTGTTTTTTTTTTTTGTTTTGTTTTGTTTTGTTTGTTTGTTTTGAGATGAATCATCACTTGGTAGTCCTGTAACTCAACTATGTAGACCAGGCTGGCCTTGAACTCACCGAGATCCATCTGCTGCTGAGATTTTAAGGGCAGTTGCTTCATTTATTTTTTTCCAGTTGATTCAGACAAGAGTGTGAAGCCAGTCCCTAGTCCTCTGTCTTCTCTAGAAGCATAGGCTCCCAGAAGCACAGCCATTAATGTTTAATGCACCATTCCTGGGTATTTGCTCAGATTAGTGTAATTGTAGCAAGCCTGGCCATGCACGAAGGCCCCAGAAGACAGAGGTTCATCTTGACCCTTACTCCAGTCTTAAGGCTGATGCACTTACAGGTGGTGGATTGGAGCCAGGCTGCCCCACCTTCACTGCAGTTTCTGAGACTGCCTCCCACAGGCAGAGGGAGGTGGTTGAAAGGCTAGCTATGTTACCTCTGCTCAGGATTCACTGCCTGGATCCTTCCTGGTTGCGCTGTAGGCTGGGAATGCTGTGAAGCAGTTCTGAAAGGAGAGGGGTTGAAAGGATGGAGGGCTTCTATCCTTTTTCTTAGTGTGAAGAGAATCTGCAGGAAAGCGGTTCCATGGAAGCAGATTCTTGTCAGCCTTTGACCTTCATATTCCTTACCATGTGCCGCCAGATAAGGATTCCTAAAATCTAGAGGATGCTCTAGCAGGAAAGAGAAAAACAGAAACAGACAACCTCAGGAAAGCAACGGGAGGAAATAATAAGGAGGGATGCAGACTGGAGCAAGGTCAATGCAGCGACCTTGTATGCCTGGGTTTCGGTTCCCAGAAGGGGAAACAAACACAAGTGGAAATACGAGATAAAATACACACAGTGAGAAGAAAAAATGAGAAGAGATGTTATGCTTGTAGAGACAACAGAAAGTATTAGACTGTGGGAGGAACTCACATACATAGTCATATATGACATATAATCATACAGAACATATAAAACATGTTAATAGGGCTGTGGTGGCGAATGCCTGTAACTCCAGCATGCATGGGGGGCAGATGTATGCAGATCGCTGTGAGTGCGAGGCCAGCCTGATCTACAAAGTGAGTCCAGGACAGCCAAGCTACACAGAGAAACCTCACTCTCAAGCATGTTAGAAAGCAGAAAGAGCTAGTGCCCAAAAACTGAGAGTAGAAATTAAAACGTAAACAGTGATAAGATTATTGAAGAAAACCCTGAAAAAGTGGATTGAAGTTACAATGAAATGGTCAACAGGGAGGGAACAAATTGATTTCCAATCCAGGGGACCTATTATTTGATTAACAGGAGTTTCAGAAAGCTCAGAGGTGAGATGGTCTAGGATGTAAAGGATACTTGTCGCCAAGCCATGCTACCTGAGTTCAGACCTGAGCTCCACATGGTAGGGGGAGAGAACTAGCCATCAGGTGTCCTCTGATGGCCACACGTGTGCCCTCTGGAGTGCTTGTACCTACCTCTCCCTAGAAGCTGTAGTGGAAATGGGAACTGGCAAACTAAAAAAAGCAACAATTTAAGACAATTTCTATACACAAAAGGGATGAACAGTTGTCAGGTTAGAGGAGCCCAGTCCGTGGGATGACTCTTAGAACGAATGAAATGAACCTTACAGCCACACATTACTGTAAGAATCTGCAAAGCAGGAGACAAAAAGATTTACAAGCACCTTTTAAAAGAGACAAGCAAATAAACAGAAAGGTTATGAACTGTCTTTAGGTTTCCTAATAACAATACTTAAGAAAGACAGTGGGTAAGGGGGAGGGGCTCAGGTGTTAAAGTGCTTGCCTGACATGCAGAAGCTATAATATTAACACTTGGGAGGTGGAGACAAGATGATCATAAGTTCAGAGCTATCCTTAGCCACATAGTGAGTTTAAGGATAGCCTGGGCAACATGAGCCTCTGTCTTTAAAATAAAAAAGAAAGAAAAAAAATTGAGTAAAACAATAGTTTCATATTACAAGGAAAATTACTTCTGACCTAGAATTCTATACCTAGCCAAACTATTGAGAAAATGGGAGAGAACTTCATGAGAGAAGATTAATAAAGACAATGCAGATAAAAATCCTCCCCCAAGAGTTAGTAAGACCTGGAGAGGACAGGAGCTCTACAAGGACCAAATATATCGGCACAGGGGTCTTTCATGAGACTGTATCTCCAACCAAGGACCATGTATGGATATAACCTAGAACTCCTGCTCGGATATAGCCCATGGTAGCTCAGTATTCAAGTGGGTTCTCTAGTAAGGGGAACAGGGACTATTTCTGACATGAACTCAATGGCTAGCTCTTTGACCCCCCTCCCCCGAGGGAGGAATAGCCTTGCTAGGCCACAGAAGAGGACATTGCAGCCAGTCCTGAAGATACCTGATAAGCTAGGGTCAGATGGAAGGGGAGAAGGTCCTCCCTTATCAGTGCACTTGGAAAAGGGCAGGGAGGAGATGAGGGAGGAAGGGTGGGATTGGGAGGGAATGAGGGAGGGGGCTACAGCTGGGATACAAAGTAAATAACCCGTGATTAATATAAAAAATAAAAAAATAAAAAATAAATCCTCCCCCAAAGTAGGAAAATAAACCAAGAGAAGGAGGGGGGGGAGGAGGCGACAACACATACGGGACCCAAGGTGGAGAGTATTAAGAGGGGGGTAGAAAGAATCCCTACGAGAGTGGCAGTGGGAGGGTGGCCCAGTAGAGTTGACTCCAGGGACAAACAGATCAAATACTGCCATTTCCATTAGTCTGTGTTTTTAAACCTTAAGAAAGTATGTACAAGTTAACCTCTAATTCCTTACTGGAAAACCCAGGAGCCATTCCATTTCTCCCGAAGAAGAAAGAGAGAGGGAAGGAGGAGATAAGGGAAAGGGAGAAAGAAAGAGGTGTATGAAGAGCAGGGTATGTACCAGCAAAAAGAACTTTAGATTCCTTCCAGGTTATGACCCACACAACTTCAGCCTAATCAAACAGGCCTTCAGGAGACGAAAATCCACTTCCCAATCATCCATCTTGATGCCGGAGCCATTAGGTATTTTATGTAGCTGCCTCACTGGGTTATGGAGAATGATTAGATCATTTGGCCAGAGGCAGTTCCCAAGAGGGACAGCTGTGAGCATCTGGGGTGGTTGCTCTGGCTGATAGAAAGGCATCAAAACATGCATAGAGCCAACTCTATGATGTTTCTCCCTTTGTGTGTCAAATAAAGACCCTCAAAGTTATTCTTTATTTCACACAGCTCTGTATGTCTTCTCTGACCCCTGATCATCCCACATAGGGGATCATAGCCCTCTTCATAATGACATATAACATTCCCACATTCCCCATGATTGGCCATGAGCAGTACCTCCTGTATAGTCAACATTTAGGCCCTCCTTTGACCCTGTTATAACTGGAAATAATACTATCTTATTGTGCAAAGACAAGCCAAGGGTAGAGGTGCACATTTGTAACCCCAGTTCTTGGGAGGCTGAAGTGGTAAGATCATGAGTTTGAGGACATTATGTTTCTATAGATGCTTCCTGTTGCTCAGAAAAGGGATACGAGGAGAGATGAGCAGATGGATGGATAAACGCATGAGTAGATCATTGAATGCACGGATGGAGATCTGGCTGAGAGATGAGTAGATGGAAGAAGGCATGGATAGATTCATAAATGGATGGACGGATAGGTTGAACGGGTGGATGAGTGAATGGGTAGATAGTAGGTAGATGACGGATTGATGAATTGATAGGTAGACAGCTAGGTAAAGGAATAGATGATAGATGAGCAGGTAAGCGGATACATAGATGAATCCATGAGGGGTTGGGTTAGGTAGATCAGAAGTTGGTGGGTGGGTGGATAGATAGGTAGATGGATAAACGGCATTGGCAGGACTAATGATCAATTCTTCTCTTTTCCCACTTCTGTCACAGGATGCTGTCTTTTCTCAAAAATAACTTGCCATGCCGGGCATGGTGGTGCATGCCT